CTTCCTGGGCACCACCATCACCCAGGACCTCAAGTGGGAGTCGACCATCAGCTCCCTCGTCAAGAAAGCCCAGCAGAGGATGTTCTTTCTGCGGCAGCTGAGGAAACTTAAGCTGCCAACCCGGATGTTGTTGCAGTTTTACACCTCCATCATTGAGTCCATCCTCACCTCCTCCATCACCGTGTGGTACGCTGGCGCCACCGCCAGGGACAGATACCAACTGCAGCGCATTGTGCGCTCTGCTGAGAAGGTGATCGGCTGTAAGCTGCCATCACTCCAGGACCTGTATGTCTCCAGGACCAGGAGACGTGCAGGTCGCATCACAGCCGACCCTTCTCACCCTGGACACAGACTGTTTGAACCTCTCCCCTCAGGGAGGAGGCTACGGTCCATACGGACCAGAACCTCCTCCCCTCAGGGAGGAGGCTACGGTCCGTACGGACCAGAACCTCCCGCCATAAGACTCATGAACACTATATGTCAGACTCTATAACCTGCCCATGCCATTCACACTGCTGTATTGCACACCGCTCTATTTGCACTCCTTCTAAGATGCTATTTTACTTTTTATATTTTTTTTATCCATATTTTTATCCTAAGTGTATATATTAGTCTATTTTATTGCATGCCTTATACCCACAGTGTTTTAGATATTTTTATAATTGTACCATAAAAAATTCCTAGTTTCCCTAATTACCAAAATAAAATCAGACATGGGGAAATGGAGTTTAATCCCATTTACAAGCTTTTCCTCCAGAATAGAAATGATTAAGACAAATGTGTTACCAAGATTAAAGGAATAGTACACCCAAAACATGATTAGCCTTCATTTTCTACTCACCCCCATGCTGAACAACACTCTGGAGTACTTTTTTGATATCTCAAATGCATCTGGAGATCTGGGAGGCTTCTTGCTGTCTGCTGACATTCAAATAATGGAGGTCTATGGCGCCCGAGGCAGAAAGGTCCATAAAAGTCCACAAAAAACGTGTCAATATTCCTCCATACTGCTCGTCCAATGTATTCCAAGTGTCCTGAGTGGGTAGCGTCCAGAATTTACTCGAAACGAAGTCATTTAGAACGTTTTTAGAGCATAAACAGTAGTGTATAGGATTTCCTGAAAGCGCGTTCACGAGTCTATGGAAACCGCGGCAGACCAAACCAGATGAAAGTGCGCATTCAGCGTCTGCTCTGCCGATAATGCAAGCGTAGAAGAAGAAATGTGCTGTTTACCTGTGCAAAGAAAGAAACAACGAAAGAAAAATGTCTGAGGACTTCAGTGTTGAGGAAGAGCATGAGTTCTTTGCCGAGCTGAATGCGCACTTTCATCTGGTTTGGTCTGCCGCGGTTTCCGTAGACTCGTGAACTCGCTTTCAGGAAATCCTATACACTACTGTTTATGCTCTAAAAACATTCTAAATGACTTTGTTTCGAGTAAATTCTGGACGCTACCCACTCAGGACACTTGGAATACATTGGACGAGCAGTATGGAGGAATATTGACACGTTTTTTGTGGACTTTTATGGACCTTTCTGCCTCGGGCGCCATAGACCTCCATTATTTGAATGTCAGCAGACAGCAAGAAGCCTCCCAGATCTCCAGATGCATTTGAGATATCAAAAAAGTACTCCAGAGTGTTGTTCAGCATGGGGGTGAGTAGAAAATGAAGGCTAATCATGTTTTGAGTGTACTATTCCTTTAATGTTTCTTTTTACCACTCTTCCGGTTGGGGTGACAGATAAAGAGTTTATAGAATGGGATAAATAAATTTCGAGATTCATTTAGCAAGGGAAAAGACCAAGGGTTAAATTTAGAACATTACAGCTGGCCAAGGATCGTGGGGGCTTAGCCCTTCCTTGTCTGAAAAGTTATTACCAGGCGGCACAGCTAAAACCTCTTCAGAATATATGTGATCCTCAATATAAATCAAAGTGGAAAGACATAGAATGTGCTATGTCACCCAAAATACCTCTACAAGCCATAATTAACGACGGCAAATTGAAACAACTAGAGAAGGCTATGAATCCATGGACAGAACTGTCAATTAGTACATGGCATGAAATGATATCAAAGCACGGCTTGACAGAGCAGACTAGTCTATTAAGATGGATAGCCCATGATTCAGATTTTAAACCGAACACAATGGACAAAACATTTGGAGAGTGGGCGAGGGGTCCGAAATCATATTGGGAACTGATTGAAAAAGGGAAAGTAATAAGCTTCCAAGATATAAAGAGAAAATTTGGCCTTGAAAATAAAAACCTCTTTAGGTATTTGCAAGTAAGGCATGTTATTGAGGAAATTAAAAAAAAGATAAGCTTTGAAGAATTGGAAACAGGGATAATTCAGATGTTTATCAGAGCATATGAATCAAATTTGGGCAAAAAAGTAATATCAAAATTATATTCAGGAGTGGAGAACCTGAAAGGAAGAAATACGTTATATATAAAAGAACGATGGGAAAAAGAGACGGGAGGGAGGTGGACGGTGGAGACATGGGAGGAGATATTTAGGCAAAACTGGAAAACATCATGTTTCCCCTCATGGAGAGAATTTGGCTGGAAGTGCATTGTGAGATATTTCTTTTCTCCAGCGCAAAAGAAAAACCAAGATACTAGATGTTGGAGAGGCTGTGGAGAAGAAAGAGCCAGTCACCTTCATGTATTCTGGGGTTGTGTTAGTATTGATATATACTGGCAGGACCTAAAGGAATGTATGGAGAAAGTCCTGAAAGTGAAACTTCCTCCAACATTCGACACTTTATTCATGGGAAGAGGGATTGATAAGCTGACAACCTCAGAGGACAAAGATATTTTCAGGATCATGTTGGCAGCCAGTAAGAAAGCTATAACTAGGAAGTGGCTGAAAACAGAGGCTCCAACAAGGAATCTATATAATGGAAAGGCTAACTTTTTCCTTGAGGTTAGAATCTGGCAAGTTCAAGAAAAATTGGGAAAACTGGGTGAAATTCATATCGCCAGTGAGATCAGACTTTGTTGTATGATTAAAATTAGGGCTGAGAACCTCCTATTGCCACACAGTTAGTGTTGTATAGTTCTAGTTTCTTTTATCTGTTTTTGTTTGTTTTTTTGTTAAAGAAAAAAAAAGTGTATTTCTATTGGAGTGGACACTTGTAGATATGAATAAGGAGGAAAGGAAGTGTTCTTTCTTTCTCACATGAAGGCACGTGTGTCAGGATAAAATGGTAAGATTACCAAGAATATAACTGTCATCTAATTAACCCATGGACTGGTTGTGAATTTAACTTGGTTATGTTAACCCATTTAGGCCTAAAACGCCTGGAAAAAACACCTTAAAAACCTATGGCCGATTTTAAAAAATACCCCTAAAACCTGAAGTTTTTCTGTAAATTCAGCAACTGTGTCAACGCCTAGTAAATTATTGATATCTCAGCTTCTGTAGCAGATAGAACTCAAAATATATTTTATCTTTGAAATTCTTCCAAAAAAAAAAAAGTGAAAAGCAGTAATCAAAAAAAAAAAAAAAAATTCAACCTTTTATTTTTTCCATATGTGATCATGTCTTCATTGAGAATGTGCAATATAAAACGTTTTTAAAATAAAGAACAAACATTACATAAATAACTATCTCATGATTACTTATTAACAGTATTATTATGCATAATAATGCATATGTCTGTGTTATAAATTGCATACAACTTACCTCCAGATGGCCACAAATCTGTCCCGGGACATATTTTGGGGGAACTGCGTCCTGAAGAGAGGTTTACTCTGTCGCCAATAATCTCTTCGTACTGGCAACACAAGAAGTCCCATGCCCATACACAGCCCAATAAATGTCTTCATCTCCGTCACAGTCACGGGTGACCACTTTGCCATCTTTGCTCTTGTTGGAGTTTGGTTTGTTTGGTCACTGTACCTATTCGTCTCGTTAACAAGATGCATCCAAAGTTCTTCATTAAAAATATGCTCAAATGCCTGCAGCGGTGTGGCGTCTGCAGGCAAATCAACTTTCACTCCAGGTGTGCGGTTGAAAACACTCCGTGCATTGCGGTAGTTGTTCGATTGGTTCAGCGCGTTCAAAGTCATCATTTTCATCTATACCGTCATCAAAGCCGACACACTCCTCAAAATGACTGCCTTCCGACAACTCTTCTCTGTCAAACTCCTCCATGTTTGCTTGAAAAAAACGTCTTTCTTCTTGCTTGACTTATATGCTCTCCCGGCGTCAATGGTAGAATTACGCAACAGCGCCCCCGGCTTAAATGGTAGAAATGCGGTAATGCTTTCCCGGCCTAAATGGGTTAAGTCTATGTCGGAAATGGATGTGCTGAATGTATAAGATCTTTGAAATGCACTCAATAAAAATTTTATTTAAAAAATAAAAAAAACTCCTAGTTTGTGAACTCCTTCACTAACAATGGCAATAAACCTGATTCAGATTGGCCTGTTTTCCAGTGTAGTCCTGTTTCTCTGACTGTGACTAACTGGATGTGCTCTCTTCATCCTCTGACATGGGAGCTGGCTCGGAGCTCGTCTGCCTGGCTGTGTGTTTCCTGGACGGGGCCGCCTGTGGAGCTGGTTGACAGTTGCCTTTTGTATCTATGCTTCTTTTTCTATGTCTGCTTCTGTCTCCTTGAACCCCAGTGGGCCTCAGCAGATGGCCGCTCACACTGAGCCTGGTTCTGCTGGAGGTTTCTTCCTGTTCAAAGGGAGTTTTTCCTCTCCACTGTCGCTACAAGCATGCTTAGTGTGAGGGATTGCTGAAGAGTCAATGAGTCGATGCAATCAGCTGGTTTTCCTTAGATAGAAAACTTTGAACCAATCTGACTGGATGATCTGGTGAACTGAATTGGAGCTATAGAAATAAACTGAATAGAATTGAACTGTTCATCCAGATGTTCCATTTGTCCAGAACCGGTCCACTGATGGGTCAGGAGAAGGTTCTGGTTCTGTTCATCCAGATGTTCTTCCTCCTGCAGTGACCCGTGTGAACAAAGACCAGAACCAGAACCAGGTGCAGTTGGTAGTTTTATTATAAAAGCTGCAGTTTCTACTGTGACAGAACAAGAACAAAAACACCAAGGGGAGGGGTCACCATGGCAACAGGGAGGAGGGCGGGGCTACGTCACTCACACCGTTCACACTCACACAGGGACAGGTGGCTTAAGGGGAACCAGCACCGGGTCAGAACTGGGTCACCGGTCCGAACCAGGAAGCCTGGTCAGACCCGGAACACCGGGTCCGTCTGCTACCGATTCAGAACCAGAACCAGGTCACTGGTTCCATCTGCTACCGATTCAGAACCAGAACCAGGTCAGTGGGTCCGTCTGCTACCGGCTCAGAACCAGAACCAGGTCTCTGGGTCCGTCTGCTACCGATTCAGAACCAGAACCGGGTGAGTGGGTCCGTCTGCTACCGGCTCAGAAGCAGAACCAGGTCTCTGGGTCCGTCTGCTACCGATTCAGAACCAGAACCGGGTCAGTGGGTCCGTCTGCTACCGGCTCAGAAGCAGAACCAGGTCTCTGGGTCCGTCTGCTACCGATTCAGAACCAGAACCAGGTCACTGGTTCCGTCTGCTACCGATTCAGAACCAGAACCGGGTCAGTGGGTCCGTCTGCTACCGATTCAGAACCAGAACCAGGTCAATGGTTCCGTCTGCTACCGATTCAGAACCAGAACCAGGTCAATGGGTCCGTCTGCTACTGGGTCCATGATCAGAACCTCAGTGGTTCTGGTGTAGTTATCAGAGTGGATCTGGGTGGATAACTGAACCAGGTCTACTGGTTCTGTTGGACCCGGTAAAGGTGTGATCTGATCAGAACCCATCAGAGTCCAGGATAGGTCAGCTATGATGTCCTCTACCAATGAATGGAAGGGGGCGGGGCCTGCTATGGCCCCGCCCCCTTCCATGTAGTTAAAACTGTCCCTAGGTCTCCGGTGGACATTCTGTCCTCATGGAGACTCCATCCAACATGACATCATTTGACAGGTCGGACCTACCGGCCCCTTTAGAGCGGGTTCTGTTCCTGAGGGAACCAGCTCCACCCCTGCTACTGGACCTCCCAGAGACCAGTTCAGGTTCTGATTCAGTTTAATACAAACATACCAGAGGTTCTGAGCAGCCTGGAGGACCCTGGACCTGGATCACCCAGTTCTGGTTCCAGGTCTGGACCTGGATCACCCAGTTCTGGTTCCAGGTCAGGACCTGGAACGAGACCTGGATCACACAGGTCTGGTTCCAGGCCTGGACCTGGATCACCCAGTTCTGGTTCCAGGTCAGGACCTGGAACGAGACCTGGATCACACAGGTCTGGTTCCAGGTCCCATCAGGGCAGCCAGTCCTGCCTGTTTGCCTCCTCCTGCTGGTGGAGCAGTGGTACTGCAGAACCAAGTGGACCCAACAGAAGCAGCCTCAGAGGAAGGTTCTGATCCGGTCTAGCAGGGTTCTGATCCGGTCTAGCAGGGTTCTGATCCGGTCTAGCAGGGTTCTGATCCGGTCTACCAGGGTTCAGTCCCTGACCCGTTTGGAACCAGACTGGTTCCTCTCAAACACACCATCCCTCCTCTTCCTCTCTACTCGTCATCTTCCTCCTCCTCCTCATCCTCCTCTCCCTCCTCATCCTCCTCTTCCTCGGCCCCCTGGGCAGCAGCGTCCGGGTTCCTGGCGAAGGTTCCTCCCCCGCGGTACGCCACCATGTCCTGTGGGTGAGAGGGGGAGGGATCAGCGGCGTGCGTGGGAGCGGTTCTGACCCGTCGGGCGGTTCTGGTCTTACCCGGTCGTACTTCTCCCTCAGCTTCTGGGCCTTCTCCTCGTAGGGCAGCTTCTCAGACTGGACCAGTTTGCTCCACATCTCCCCCAGCTTCTTAGCACAGTCCCCTATGGACAGACCCGGGTACTGCTGCTTCACGCTGGGACGGTACTCGGAGCAGAACACGAAGAACGCCGACCTGCAGGACACGGAGAGGACGTCAGAACCACAGGGACACGGAGAGGACGACGTCAGAACCACAGGGACACGGAGGGGACGTCAGAGCCACAGGGACACGGAGAGGACGTCAGAACCAGAGGGACACGGAGGGGACGTTAGAACCACAGAGAACCACAGGAACACGGAGGGGACGTCAGAGCCACAGAGAACCACAGGAACACGGAGAGGACGTCAGATCCACAGGGACACGGAGGGGACGTCAGAGCCACAGCGACACGGAGAGGACGTCAGAACCAGAGGGACACGGAGGGGACGACATCAGAACCACAGGGACACAGAGAGGACGTCAGAACCACAGGGACATGGAGGGGACATCAGAACCACAGGGACATGGAGGGGACATCAGAACCACAGGGACATGGAGGGGACATCAGAACCACAGGGACACGGAGGGGACATCAGAACCACAGGGACATGGAGGGGACATCAGAACCACAGGGACACGGAGGGGACGTCAGAACCACAGGGACACGGAGAGGACGTCAGAACCAGAGGGACACGGAGGGGACGTCAGAGCCACAGGGACACGGAGGGGACGTCAGAGCCACAGGGACACGGAGAGGACGTCAGAACCAGAGGGACACGGAGGGGACGACATCAGAACCACAGGGACACAGAGAGGACGTCAGAACCACAGGGACACGGAGGGGACATCAGAACCACAGGGACATGGAGGGGACATCAGAACCACAGGGACATGGAGGGGACATCAGAACCACAGGGACACGGAGGGGACGTCAGAACCACAGAGAACCACAGGGACACGGAGGGGACGTCAGAACCACAGGGACACGGAGGGGACGTCAGAGCCACAGGGACACGGAGAGGACGTCAGAACCAGAGGGACACGGAGGGGACGACATCAGAACCACAGGGACACAGAGAGGACGTCAGAACCACAGGGACATGGAGGGGACATCAGAACCACAGGGACATGGAGGGGACATCAGAACCACAGGGACACGGAGGGGACGTCAGAACCACAGAGAACCACAGGGACACGGAGAGGACGTCAGAACCACAGGGACACGGAGGGCACATCAGAACCTCAGGGACACGGAGGGGACGTCAGAGCCACAGGGACACGGAGGGGACGTCAGAGCCACAGGGACACGGAGGGGACGTCAGAGCCACAGGGACACGGAGGGGACGTCAGAGCCACAGGGACACGGAGGGGACGTCAGAGCCACAGGGACACGGAGGGGACGTCAGAGCCACAGGGACACGGAGAGGACGTCAGAACCACAGAGAACCACAGGGACACGGAGAGGACGTCAGAACCACAGGGACATGGAGGGGACGTCAGAACCACAGGGACACGGAGGGGACGTCAGAACCACAGGGACATGGAGGGGACATCAGAACCACAGGGACACGGAGGGGACGTCAGAACCACAGAGAACCACAGGGACACGGAGAGGACGTCAGAACCACAGGGACACGGAGAGGACGTCAGAGCCACAGGGACACGGAGGGGACATCAGAGCCACAGGGACACGGAGGGGACGTCAGAGCCACAGGGACACGGAGGGGACGTCAGAGCCACAGGGACACGGAGGGGACGTCAGAGCCAGAGGGACACGGAGAGGACGTCAGAACCAGAGGGACACGGAGAGGACGTCAGAACCAGAGGGACACGGAGGGGACGTCAGAACCAGAGGGACACGGAGGGGACATCAGAACCACAGGGACACGGAGAGGACATTAGAACCACAGGGACACGGAGGGGACATCAGAACAACAGAGAACCACAGGGACACGGAGAGGACATCAGAACCACAGGGACATGGAGGGGACATCAGAACAACAGAGAACCACAGGGACACGGAGGGGACATCAGAACAACAGAGAACCACAGGGACACGGAGGGGACATCAGAACAACAGAGAACCACAGGGACACGGAGGGGACATCAGAACAACAGAGAACCACAGGGACACGGAGAGGACATCAGAACCACAGGGACATGGAGGGGACATCAGAACCACAGGGACACAGAGAGGACGTCAGAACCACAGGGACACAGAGAGGACGTCAGAACCACAGGGACATCAGAACCACAGGGACACGGAGGGGACGTCAGAACCACAGGGACACAGAGAGGACGTCAGAACCACAGGGACACGGAGAGGACGTCAGAACCACAGGGACACGGAGAGGACGTCAGAACCACAGGGACACGGAGAGGACGTCAGAGCCACAGGGACACGGAGGGGACATCAGAGCCACAGGGACACGGAGGGGACATCAGAGCCACAGGGACACGGAGGGGACATGGAGGGCACATCAGAACCACAGGGACACGGAGAGGACATCAGAGCCACAGGGACACGGAGAGGACATCAGAACCACAGGGACACGGAGGGGACATCAGAACCACAGGGACACGGAGGGGACGTCAGAACCACAGGGACACGGAGGGGACATCAGAACCACAGAGAACCACAGGGACACGGAGGGGACGTCAGAACCACAGAGTACCACAGGGACACGGAGAGGACGTCAGAACCACAGGGACACGGAGAGGACGTCAGAACCACAGGGACACGGAGAGGACGTCAGAGCCACAGGGACACGGAGGGGACATCAGAGCCACAGGGACACGGAGGGGACATCAGAGCCACAGGGACACGGAGGGGACATGGAGGGCACATCAGAACCACAGGGACACGGAGAGGACATCAGAGCCACAGGGACACGGAGAGGACATCAGAACCACAGGGACACGGAGGGGACATCAGAACCACAGGGACACGGAGGGGACCTCAGAACCACAGGGACACGGAGGGGACGTCAGAACCACAGGGACACGGAGGGGACGTCAGAGCCACAGAACCACAGGGACACGGAGGGGACGTCAGAGCCACAGGGACACGGAGGGGACGTCAGAGCCACAGGGACACGGAGGGGACGTCAGAGCCACAGGGACACGGAGGGGACGTCAGAGCCACAGGGACACGGAGGGGACGTCAGAACCACAGGGACACGGAGGGGACGTCAGAGCCACAGGGACACGGAGGGGACGTCAGAGCCACAGGGACACGGAGGGGACGTCAGAGCCACAGGGACATGGAGGGGACATCAGAACCACAGGGACACGGAGAGGACATCAGAACCACAGGGACACGGAGGGCACATCAGAACCACAGGGACACGGAGGGGACGTCAGAACAACAGAGAACCACAGGGACACGGAGGGGACGTCAGAGACACGAAGAGGGGGGGAGGACATCAGAACCACGGAGAGAGGGGGGGGAGGACATCAGAACCACGGAGAAAGGGGGGAGGACATCAGAACCACGGAGAGAGGATAGGGACATCAGAATGGCGACAGCAGCAGTACTCACGGCGGCCTCTTGGGGGCGTTGGGGTCTTTCCTCTTGCGGCCTCTCTTGCCGAAGCCTTTAGGAGGAACGTAGTCCCTCATCTCTCGGTTGTAGCGAACCTTGTCGGCCTTCGCCATGTCCTCGAAACGCTTCTTCTCCCCGGGGGACAGAGCCTGGAACACAGGAGGAGACGTGACCCGACAGAACCACTGGTGACCCGACAGAACCACGGTGACCCGACAGAACCACGGTGACCCGACAGAACCACGGTGACCAGACAGAACCACTGTGACCCGACAGAACCACGGTGACCCGACAGAACCATGGTGACCCGACAGAACCATGGTGACCCGACAGAACCATGAGGACCCGACAGAACCATGAGGACCCGACAGAACCATGGTGACCCGACAGAACAATAAGGACCCAACAGAACCACTGGTGACCTGACAGAACAATAAGGACCCAACAGAACCACTGGTGACCTGACAGAACCATGAGGACCCGACAGAACCATGGTGACCCGACAGAACCATGGTGACCCGACAGAACCATGACGACCCGACAGAACCATGGTGACCCGACAGAACAATAATGACCCGACAGAACCATGGTGACCCGACAGAACCATGGTGACCCTACAGAACCACTGGTGACCAGACAGAACCATGGTGACCCGACAGAACCATGGTGACCCTACAGAACCACTGGTGACCAGACAGAACCATGGTGACCCGACAGAACCATGAGGACCCGACAGAACCATGGTGACCCGACAGAACCATGGTGACCCGACAGAACGACTGGTGACCCGACAGAACCATGAGGACCCGACAGAACCATGGTGACCCGACAGAACCATGGTGACCCGACAGAACGACTGGTGACCCGACAGAACCATGAGGACCCGACAGAACCATGAGGACCCGACAGAACCATGGTGACCCGACAGAACCATGGTGACCCGACAGAACGACTGGTGACCCGACAGAACCATGAGGACCCGACAGAACGACTGGTGACCCGACAGAACAATAATGACCCGACAGAACCATGGTGACCCGACAGAACCATGAGGACCCGACAGAACCATGAGGACCCGACAGAACAATGAGGACCCGACAGAACCACTGGTGATCCGACAGAACCATGGTGACCCGACAGAACCATGGTGACCCGACAGAACCATGGTGACCCGACAGAACCATGGTGAACCTACAGAACCACTGGTGACCAGACAGAACCATGGTGACCCGACAGAACCATGGTGACCCGACAGAACCATGGTGACCCGACAGAACCATGAGGACCCGACAGAACCATGAGGACACGACAACCATGAGGACACGACAGAACCATGGTGACCCGACAGAATGACTGGTGACCCGACAGAACCATGGTGACCCGACAGAACCATGGTGACCCGACAGAACGACTGGTGACCCGACAGAACCATGACGACCCGACAGAACCATGACGACCCGACAGAACCACCGGTGACCCGACAGAACCACCGGTGACCCGACAGAATCATGAGGACACGACAGAACCACCGGTGACCCGACAGAACCACCGGTGACCCGACAGAACCACCGGTGACCCGACAGAACCACTGGTGACCAGACAGAACAATAATGACCCGACAGAACCATGGTGACCCGACAGAACCACCGGTGACCCGACAGAATCATGAGGACCCGACAGAATCACCGGTGACCCGACAGAACCATGAGGACCCGACACAACAATAACGACCCGACAGAACTATGAGGACCCGACAGAACCATGAGGACCCGACAGAACCACTGGTGACCTGACAGAACAACTAGTGACCGGACAGAACCATATGGTAGCAGTTTTATTGTCTTATATCAGAAATCAGAATCAGAATATATCCTACAACATGGACCTATACTTACTTAGCAACAAAACAGTACATCTTGAAGTTCAAGTATGAGTCTTAGCAATAATAAAGTCTCTAATGCTGGCTGGCTTTCCAAACAAGGAAGCAGTTGTACTGCGTTATGCAGTCCTGTTTCTGACCTTATGCCTACTTAGCAACACAGAGATTGCAACATGAAAACAGGATGTTTACAAGCTGGAAGTCACAAGTCTTTGCAAAACAGGGTCGTTAAGGCCCACGCGCATGCAATCGGGTCACAGGACAAGAACTTCCAGAAGGTTCTTCAGAGCGTCCAGTCGCGCGCGTGCATCCACACAGTGCGTTGTGGAGCCTATAAAAGCCCGCCCTCAATGTATTGAAGGTGGGGGAAAACTACAGATGTGAGGACATAGCGCTGGATGTATGAAGTGTTTAAGACAGCTGTATGAATTCGGTTTTGTAAATAAATGTTTCCCCCCTCCGGAGACAATGGAGTGAATCGTCAGCCTTCTTTCTATCATAAGAGAATTCTACCAATGAGCTTCCACAATTGGTGCATTTTGGCCGCATTGAATTGAATCAGGACCTCCCGGGTGAAAACAAGGAAAAACTAAGGAAAAGGAGAGGTAAGTTAAATTTACCCTCCTATTTATTAATTAGTATAGGCAGAAGGCTCTTACTGGCTACTGAATTAATTTAAGCGATTCACCTTTCTGTCACCGGATGTGCTGCAGCATAAATTGGCATCTTGAGATAAATAGTAGCTGTCGAGAACTGGCTCGGATTTTTGTTTTTGGATGATTAATAGTAATCTGCTGAAGCGAGATTGCACCATAACTTTATAGAAATTGGTGGAAACTGGCGGTCACGGATTATAAGTGATGTATCATTATGAATGATGCAACTAATATGTATATCTCATTCTAGTGAGGAAATAACTTTCCTATATGTCGCCGAGTTGCAGTTCGACCGAGCCTGAAGGGCTGTTGTTGTAGGCCTGAGTCTAGAGGACTGTATTGAGATCTCGTATGTTGCTGTTGTTTATCTCCGGAGAAAGAAGCAACAGAGAGCAGTGTGGCTCTGTGTTGATGATGTTAGACCAAAAGTTGTTAAAAAAGAGTTAAAAGTGCATGCAAATCAGTTTATATTGGCTGCTTGGGTCTATGAAGTTAAAGAATTCTGTGCACAACCGGTTAATTGCCATGGCATGTAATGGGATGAATGTCTAAAGAGCTCTGTGTGACTCTGTATGAATCTGTGATTATATGACTGGTGCTGTTTGCAAGAGTGTGTGGTGATAAGAAATCTAAGTGCGCACTAAAACATCTGTTTAAATTTAAGACCTCATTCAGATCTGTAATCGGATCTGCTTAATCACTCACTGTAATTTAATTCGGCTGAAAAACAGTGTCCCGAGGCAATAAGGTTGGTATTCAAGAGTCTAAAAAAAAAAAAAAAAAAAAAAAAAAAAATAAGTAAAAAAAAAATAAAGAGATAAAGTTAACAGAGAAAAGAATTGGATAAATAAAAAACTAAAAACATAAAAGACTAAACAAAAGAAAGAAAGTGATCACTTTATATCTGCAAAAGACGTCTGCTTTCACTTCAATTGTAACTGCGTCACATTTTCTAATAGCTGACCTGCATGAAAAATGGGTGTCCAGTTGTTTGTTCTAACAGAAAAGGCCTAATTGTGCCCAATCTTTAAACATACTTGGCCGAAAAGTCGTTAGTTATTACAAAACAATTTGTTACGTAAACAGTGGATATAAGAGAAGTTTCAAAATTTGTACGACAACATCTAAAAAAGTTTCAAAACAAGTTTTTCTTAGCAAAAGCCCCCTCCCTTTTCTTCTCTCCTCTTATGAACCTGTCTGTGTGTGTGCGCTGACACACACACACGCTGGAAGCTTAAAAATGCCACGACGTTCTGTATCTGTTAAATAGGATTATATATTATTATAAACAAAACTATGTTAGAAGCCGGCATGTGTCTGTCTGTCTGTCTTTATGTTCTTTGTCTGTCTGTCTGTTCTATGTTGTTTGTTCAATGTCAACATGTCCGTCTGGGGTATAAAATATTTGTTCTATTATGTTTCAGTATAAACAGATCAATAGGATAATTAAACAGCAGATAATTAGATTACAGTTATGTTAAAACATAGATTAATATGGCAATAAACATAAAATCCCATGAAGAACTGGATTCTCTCTATGCATCCACGTCCGGACATATGATAAGAAAGGTATGCAGGAAACCTGTTGCTGAAAAAGTCCAATTTCTGCACATTCTAGTTGGATGCGTTTTGAGTAATTCAGTAATGAGTGGGACCAAAGTCATCAGAAAACACTACAAGACAAACAATGACAAAACTTTATAAAAAAGAAAATACAAATAATGAGCACAAGAAATAGGATCTGGTCTAGACATTTTCTATTATAAAGTGTTTGGTTTTAGTTATATTTTGTTTATGTTGTTTTGCAAATGCTACCGATGTTTCTGTGATTTCTGGAGGTGAACCTTTAGAGGAGCTGAAATTATTGATTCAAAGTGTTGATCCTCTTTTTTCAAATGTTTATAAAAAAGTGAAAAACTATGGTCGATTTTATAAGAAATATATTGATTAATATATTTACATCTTACTATGTCTTGAAATTAACATGTTAAAGTTAGAAAATCAATTTGTACTAAAAGTTCTGTAAACCCCCCCTCCCACCTCCCGCCCAACAGTAAGGTCCAAAAATGGTTCTGAATTCTGTCCCGAGGCAAACGGAAACTCAACACACACACATTTTCTACACACACACATTATGCCTGAAACACACACAGCTGCTTGTGTCACTGAGAGACAGAAGGAGAAGCACAGTTACCAGAGTTTAAGCAGGGGCGATCAAAATAGAATTAGGGCCCGAGGGTTTAGAAGCATTTTTAACTGAAAACAATGTACTGATTGTTACACTAGAATGATATTGTGTACGGCATGTAAAGAGACTGATTTTTAAGCTTATATTTGATTATGATAAACCCCATATGATTAGACAAATCCTTCCTTTGCACATAGATGACAGAATTAGATTACTCCTGAGTTATGTTGGTCTTACTGTAGCAAAGTGAATAAGTGAAACACTAATTATTAACAATACTTAAAGGTGAATTTTCAAAAAGAGCAAGTTACATTTATGCTAAGGATTTTTTTTAATGTAAATTAACTTTTGATGAAACTTGATAGAACAAATACAACTCAACAATTATTAGGGGTAAGAGATAAATAAAATGAAGTCCTTTTAACA